TCCCAGCTGGATCTGGGGTGGCTCTTCACGGGGGCTCGCCGTCCACGTCTCCCGCTGCTGTAAGGTGCCTGAAGGAGCTGCGTTTTGTAGCACGCGTATGTCCTGGCACCACAGCTCAAGCCGTGCCCGGCAGTAGAAGCCAAGCCTCAAGCGATAAATTCCCATAATGGAAGATAATGTGGCACTTTACAATGCTGTGCGAGCTCCTGTTGAGCGCTCCTTTCTGTGCCTGAGCGTGCCGGTATTCTTCAGAAGCTCTCAGATCAGAAGCTGATCAGAGACCTGTTTCAAATGGTGTATCTTAGACTTCTTATGTAAAATGGTGTATCTTAGACTTCTTATGTACCTGTCTTCCCTAGCCTGCTTGCAACAAGTATGGTGTGCCTGGATGTCCAAGGGACTACAATCCGGTTTGTGGGACCGATGGAGAGACCTACTCAAACGAGTGTGTGCTCTGCCTTTCAAACAGGTAGTCTAACCTTCCCTTCCCTATATGCAAGGAAAATATTCACCCTCCCATCCCAATTAACTGATAGATTATTGGCTTTGGATCGTTCACACTCTGTTAAACTGCAGTTTTAGCAGTGTCTTCTCAACTGTCAATCCCTTGCAACAGCTTTTATTATGATACCTGTAAATGGCTTAGATTGGATTCAGTTAGCTGGGAGTACTGAATATTCGCTTTTGTAATTTTTAAGGAGGAACATCTCAGAAGGGGGTTGCCTGTCACATTCGTACAGTGCCACATTGCCATTAAGTATAATGCCACTCTTCCGCACTCTCCATCAGAAAACGTGAAATATCCTACCCAAAAGGCAGCTTTTACTACAAAATGTTTACATTCAAGATCCAATCTCCTGTACTTCCTTTCACAGAGAAGAGTAAGAATGCCAAATGTTAGGAGAAAAGACTATTTTGCCATTCAGATTGTTTAAAAATCAAGAAAAAGATCTCCTAATATTTGAGAGAGGGTATTTTATTCTTTAATAATTTAATCATTTTTTAAAAACAAATTGAAAACATAGAAAATCAGTACTTAATGGGCATTGTTACCCCCCATTATGATTGACTGGAAACCTCTATAGAGCATCCTCTCAGTACAAACTGAGAGGAACTGCTTATGAATTGAATTTGATGGTGAAAGGAGTTTATATAAATGAAATAACAGAATTTCTGTTTCCAGCAGAGGGAAGAAGTGAGAGTAGCACAACAACAGTGATGGGCATTTACAAAATTACAAATAGATAGATCTCAAGAAAGGGAAGGCTGAAATATGTTTCTGACTTTGGGGTGGGGGAAAGATTAATTGTGACCAGATAACTTACAAAATTCAAATGACCAAGATAGAGGGAACATAGGCCAGAATAAGGAAAGTGTCAAAAGTGTCAAAGGACACTTAAGGAAATAATATTTTAAAGAAAGTGCCGAAGTGTGTCAAAGGATGTTTAAAGGTATGCAGATCTGCAGAATTTGGTAACATTTTCACCAAAGTACATCACAAACTACCCAAGCAAATGACAAATTGCAAAGAGAATTGGTAAACCTACCATCTGGAAAAAAAACAACCAACCTGGGAATCAAAGGGCACATACAGTACAATCTGTGAAAAGGGGAGAAAAGAGGTGCTGGCATGTTACGTATTAGGACCCTACCCATCTTTGCTGCCTATAACGATGTTGGAGTAAGTCATTAAGCGATTGACTTGTAGACAGCCAGAGGTAAAAAAGAGAGTAAGCAAAGCTGATACAGATTTGTCAGAAATAATCCGATCAAATCCATGAGATTTAGTTTTTTGGCAAGATAACTGGCCTAGCAGAGTAGGAAGAAACAGAAGTGTTGCTCCATGACATTAATAAGGCATTTTACATAGCTTCACTTGACATTCACATAAACAGACAAATAGTTATTCAGCTGAAATTGTTCAAGGATGAAGTCACAGCAGTTCGAAATGCTGTGGTTTAAAAGCAGTAATCAGCATTTTACAGTCAAACTGGAAAGAGCTATTAAGTGGGATTTCCTTTAGGTGTAGTATGTAATTCTGTATTTTTGTCATGAATTGGATATCAGAAACAAAACAATGAAAATTTGCAAAATGGCACGAGATACAATGATCTGTGCAGGACAGTATCAAAATTCCCAGGGATCTGGAGAAATGGACTGAAACCAGTACAATAAAAGTCAAAGAGAAGTGCTAAGTATTGCACATAGAGAGTGCAAATCCATGTCGTGGAGATACAGACAGGAGAGTGTCTCACGACCTAAACGGTGTATTTGATCCTTTCTCAGAGCAGAATGATGGGCTTTGAGATCCAGCCTTACATTTCTAGGATTTTTTACATTTCATTTTTTTAGGCATGATGGGAACCCTCAGTTTCAGATGGGTGCATGGTAGATTCCTGAATACAGCATTGCACATAGCCCAAAGGGTTCTCTAGTCAAACCTGCTGTTTATTTCCACTCAATTCCTTAAGTAATTTATGATGGGGCTTATGTCTTATTAGTATGAGATGTAATGTACGTTTTGTGTGAAACATGGGATTTAATCCAGTTACACACACAAGAGAGATTTTTTTATCTTAACCATCTTTTTTTACTGGCATCTTACATGCTCAGAAACATGCATTTTGGTCTGAAGGGGCAGAGGGTGATCAGATACTATCCTGATTTTTTTTCTTTAATAATTCAGTAGTTGGCGTACTCATTGGCTTTCTAGTTCAGTCTGGAGTTGTTGTTCACAAATGTTTGACTTGGCATGAACACAACAAGGATAAAACACTTTGTCTTACTGGAAGAATTTCAGCTTTGAAAAATGGTTCATAGTCATAAGCAATGGTCATTTCACTTCAAGGAGTCGTACAGCCCATCACACTCATTAGGAGAGGAGAACAGAGAGATCTTTCTGCCCTTCTTAACAAGCTGCATGACCAGTCGTTGCTGAGATAAATAGTGTAATGTGGTGATGTAGAAACAGATATACGGGCATATCCCATATACAAAACAGTTCTAAGTTAATGTAGGTGATTCTCAACAGCCAACTTGCAGGTCAATTCCAGCCTGTGTTTAAGCCCATTCAAGGACTTTTTAAAGGGAGTTGTACTTCCCTGATGGCCAAGGCAGTACCGTCCGTGGGCTCTTTTAGCCATGAAAGACTGTGTGGGCACCTGGAGAGCCCCATGTGTGTCAAGAGTACTGCAGGAGAGGTCGCTGTGGCTGATCCATGATAACGTGAGACACCTGGAGCAAAGGTGCAGCACAAACCCTGCCCATCCTGGTTCTGCAGTGCAGCCCATTAACTGTAAGACCAAAGCTGGTCTTCCTCCCTGCCTTTTTTTTTTTTTTTTTTAAAGCTCAGATCTAATCCATTCTTAAGTGGGTGCTCAAATGCAAATGCCAGGTCTCTTCCACACCTAGTGTCCAGTAGCAGTGACAACAGCTGATCTTAATTTAAACTTAGTCTGGTAGCACCACAAGCTCTTTGGGAACAGACACAGCAGCTTGAGCTGCCTCTGCAGGGTTTAGCGTAAGGGCTGCTCTTCAGCCAGAACTTTTCCTTACATCTTTACATGTGTTTTACATCCCATGGGCTTGATTTTTCCTTTCATATTCCTAATCTGCTCCACTACCTTCTGGTTAAAAGATACCTGATACAACTATCAATACAGATGATCCCTGCTTTTGGGTGGGTAATAATAAGCCTCTTGAATTTCATGAGGAGTAAAACAGCTTGATTCTATTAAGATAGGGAAGTGACCTGAAGATCTAGGGCAGTTTGCATTCTATCACTTTCTTTTTGTATCTGCACTTCCTTGGTAAACTGAGATTTGTAAATGGAGCGCCCCAAAGTACCATGTATGGGACTTCCAAAAAAAACCTAATGTTCCCAAACTAAGGGAGACTTGGCTTAAATTTCCTTAAAGAAGATTCCAATGTTCAGAGAACCACACATTCAGATTTTAGTGAAGCCTGGGATGCAGAGATGCATCAGGATGCACACCCTTCCCACTGAATTCCCATGTGAAAGGGATAAATTCTGTAAGCATTAGAACTGTTGCCCACTTCAGGGACTGTGAAGTTTGACTTGCATTAGTGCTTTGTAATGGACACTTCAGTCCTCATTGCAAGATTTGTCATGTGGTTTGATACTTCTCAGATTTGCAGGTGGCTTTATCAGGTTTTTGTAGGTAACAAAGCCTGAAGTGAGACTGTCTCTGGTAAGTTACTTGCTCTGTGCGTGTGATTCATAAATCTTTGCGTCACAGTTACTTTGTGGTAATGTTTGCCATAAATGGTGCGATTAAATGCATCGCTGCATTTAATTGAACACATAGAAAGACATGGGAAAGTCCACTTTATAAAACGTCTCTGTTAAATTCAAGTGTAGTGCTTCACTTCTAAAATATTTTTCTTCTGCTTGCAGTGAAAATAAAAAGGATGTCCAAATTTTCAAGATGGGAATATGCTGATATGGCAGATGGCTACTTTTCAAGAAAATAAGAACACAGGCAGTCCAAATGGAAAGAATGCCTTAAATGTACCTTCTATGTAGCCTGTCTTAATAAATAAGCTTGCCTGTTTAAACAAAGTACTGTTACTGTATTAAAATCAGTGTTTATAAACAGCCATAGTACACTTATAACCTGAACCCCAATTTATTTTCTCATGCAAGACAGATCATAGGGTAAGAAAGAGATGTCCTGACTGTATACCAGTAAGTCAGTTGTTTGGAGAAGGAAATGAACGGGTACCCAGTGCCGTTTCCACAGCAGCACCTGGGAGCAAGGAGACCCCAGCACCGCTGCTGCGGGCAGTGCTGGTGGCAGCAGCTGCTCCTTGTTTCTGGGAGGATCTGAGCCCACAGGTGCCAATGACCCCTGGGGAGCCACTGGAGGGGTTTCCTGTGGCGGCTACCAAACTGGT